AAAATTCTTTATCTTTTTGTTTTCTCCTGGTAGTTGATGCTCATCGACCAATGAGCCTATTCCCAAGTCTACACAGAAGTCTAGCTCAAATATAATTAAATGTGGTCGCTGGCCCCAAGGTACTTATACCTTTTCACCTTTACTCACACGCTCTATGTGGAGCTGCAGCACATTGAGAATTGATCCTCTTACACAGCTTCTTTGTATCACTCAGAGTGTGTAAAGGGGTCTGTCCTCTTCGGCTCCCACAATTTACTGCCCAATTGATTCTCACTCTTCCTTGTGTCTACCTTAATTTTCTCATAGTTAAACTTTGCTGTTACTGTTCATTTGTTCTAGTTGCCTCCTGTATTCCTTCTATCAGTGGCGTCACCAGGGTCAGTGCTCCCTCCAGTGCAGTATCTCATGGTGCCCTCTCCACCCCTTGCACCCTAGTAATGTTTTTACCATTCTTAATGCTAGAATAATAGGTGATGAATCTTATATGAATGCTAACAACAAATTGTTTCTTTAAAGCTTTCCACAGTCAATTACATTGTTGGTAACTGAGCAGAAACCACTTTACAATCTTCGCCTTTTCCTTTAATTACTACTACTTCATTCCCCCCAAAAGTTGACATAGATAGATTCACAAATATTAATTACCACAACCAGAATACTTGATAAAAATCAGTGACTAAGAAAACCCTGGCAACAACAACAGCTGCACATTTTTATAGCATGCATACAAACGCACGTGATTCAAAGTCTTTGTAATTGGATAATAATGACAGCTCTGTCCCAAGCGTATGGATCATAAATTTTGCATAGAGCTTTTGCCTTGTAGGGATTTTGGTACACTACCTCTCTGACTGTGTCACCCAGTGCAGTCCGCATCCTCTGCATCCTCCGTGAGACTCCACTGCCTTAAATCAGTGGAGTAAGTTTGCTAGATGTGAGAAGGTTTGTATTTGCTCTACTCTCTTGTGCAGTAATAGATCTGAGTTCTAGCAAAGTGTCCCTTGTGTCTTCTTTGACTTTGAGTTCTTAAAACTTGTACATGGCTTGGCACTAAGAGGGTGCTTACACAATGTTTGCAGAATCAGAATGGTTCAAGGTTTCAAAAAGCTTCCTTTCGTCAAGCTCATTATTCTTCCAGAGTTTCCATTTTTGCCACTTGCCTTCTTGAAGTCAAATTTCCTCTGCTTGTTTCTGCACTGGCTAATTTCTGGGAAAAAAAAAACAGAAACCATCAACTAATATTCACCTGGACTTGGCTGGTTTTCTGGGAAGCTATAATTAGCAAGAGGTTTCCCATTTCTGTGGGAGTATGAATGAGTAAGAGAGTAGGAGGTCCTATCTGTAACTCTGCCTTTTCCCCTGGGTTGAAATCCTGAACTGTTCAAGAGCCAACGCAAAGCGCCCACCTCTCAATGTTATTTCTATCCTAACCTTTTCAGTCTTCATGCCACCTTCCCTCTCTCCTCTCTGTTGTGTGTTTTTTGTTGATGGAGCACTGCTGTTCCTTCTCATTCCTTGGACTTGTGTCCTGAGGCCATCATGGGATACTGATGCTTACCAGACATGACTCAGAATTTATAGCCAGACATATCTTTGTTCAAATTTTGACTTAGCTAGAACCCCAACGAGATGGATTGGCCAAGTGGCAGCATTGATGGACTCAAGTGTGGCAACAATAGTGAGGTTGGCCCAGGATCAGTCAGTGTTAAGTTCTGCTGTATATAAGGTCGCTATGGGTTTTACTGACTCAATGGCACCTGACAACAACAACTACCCCATCAGTAAAATTGAGATGAGAATCTGTATTTGATACAGTCATTGTAAGGTTGAATTGAGCTAATATAGTCAATTCCAAAGTCACACTTCTATTCACTGACCATCCGTGTGAAAACTCCACTTTGATCCTGGTTCTGCAAGATGTAATTCTTCTCATATTGCAAACAATTTACTGAATGGACAGCTAAATGTACTTTATTTATAATTCTAATTTAACTTCTAAAATTTGGCATGTAAATAAAGTCACATAAATAAGTAAACAAAGGATTAAACCCTTGTGTTAGAAATATGTGGTTATATTCACCTCTTTCCTATCTTTGAAAGTGGACCTACCTAGTCACTGTAGCATCCACCATTCCCCACCATGCCTGGAAGTCTGGCTTTCTAAGCACGGTGTGTTTTTATTTTCCTTAAGCGCAGAATGAAAGAGAACAGTCTTGATGATGATCTTTAACTTATGTGCCATGCCCTTCACTCCTAACAATCTGTTTGACGTTCTAACGTGGGCACAAATGACCCTCTTCTTGCTGTACTTCATGAACAAACTTGAGTTTTAATGTAGCTTGGCAAGTGGGTTTTTTAAAGATTGGTGGAAATACACACGCTCACATCTTTGTCACTTCAGTGCCCAGAGTGCTAAAATCGTATATTATTCACAAACTCCAGGTGCAGGGTCAGGGGGGATGGTGGGCACGGACACATCTGAGCTCCAGAGAGGAAAGCACAGCTCTAAACGCTCTAAAGTGACGCAAAAAGTTGTATCTTGGGCATATATACAAATTACATCACAAGTGGCGGAATTTGCTTTGTTTTGTAAGTAAACCTGACCATCTAATTTTAACCAGAAAAAGAATTCATGATATGAATCCCCACAGCTATTTACCTTTGCCATTCAAGAAGGTAATGATCTTCCCTTTCTTGGAATGTTTTTCCCCATGACTTCTTAAAATTTTTAAACTTCTTTATTCAAGTTTCATATCATATATAAATACTGAGTGAAAATTTAGTATTTCTTTTATGAGATGGCTGAAACAATATGCAATAGACCCTAGAGACAAGAAAGATGTGTTAAGTACAAGGAAACTCCGTTCTCTTATAGGAATCTGCTGAAAAGATCTTACGCATGTGTTGGGTTTAGTGGTGTTAGGAGGGCATGGGGGAAATGAATTCACCTAGCTTATCATTTCAATGGGAGCCATTTCTTTCTTTCTGGCTTAGCTATAAAGAGATTGAATCTGTCAGTTGTCTGGTGTCTGTGATGATTACCAGCAACCATACTGACTGTTCCTGGGAGACTGTGTGTGTTGCGTCATGGAGGGCGCGTCAGGCAGTTATTGAGATGGATCCTTGGGACATTTATTTGGGTGGACTTGTGGGTTCTGAACAGGTCATGGGTAGCAGGACAGGGCTCTGGCCTTGTTATAGAATTTCTGCCCTGTGGAGCTCAGAGTACAAATGAGGACCAACACACATTGGAGAGGCCAGAGACTTTTCAGAGCAACCATAGGGCAGGCTTCACCTGTGCTCAGGACCTTGTGAAGAAGAGTGGGAAATTGTGTTTTGCACTTCATGAGTACATGTATTTTAAGCAGAAACTAGTCATGAGGGCTTAACTAGAAAGCATCTTGAGCAAGCCATGAAATGATAAACAAACTTGCTATTGAAAGAAAGAATGAGAAGTTGACAATTGAGGCATTGTGATCCTGAGTAGGTTCATCCTCTAGGGTAGAAGAATATAGAAAGAGGAGACAAAAGAACCGGGTAAGATGAGTTCAGTCATGTCATTCCGTTTTTCCTTTGTCTTCCATTTACACCTGGTAATGAACCCTTAGAGGTTTGGAGATATTATTCAAGTTTCCCTTTGTTTTTTTTTGTGTGTGGCAAAGTTGTTTACAATTTCCAAAGGGCCTTTTATTTTTGTTCTCCTCCTCAATCTTGAGGAATATGAATTGAGAAGGGGAAGAAAAAGATGGCAAGGTATTTTGAAGAGAAGAGATGTCCCCACAGTAAGTAAGGGAGGTCACTCCGCTTTTGTTTTTCTTTTTGAAGAGGCTGCTGCGATGGATGGTACTCATTTCATCAAATGTGGGTGTTACAGAATTCCTCCATGTCCTGCCTCAGGGAATCATGCTTTGGAAAATTAAGTGTCCATCAAATCAGGAGGAGGCTTGTACAGTTTCTATCCCCTGACCCCCTGCTCTTTGAAAGGCTTAAGAGCCCTTTGTTTTCTGTTCTAGGAAAGTTACACTGAAATTCATCTGCGTGGTTTTCATGGGCTTCATTTGTGCCATTCATAGGCAGCTGTAGGTTGTACAAGAGCAATGTTGATGGATTCCTACCCCAACCTTCAGAGTGGTGTGCTGGGAAAAGATTCTTTTTACTTCCTTTTTTTTTTTTTTTTTATTTAAGGAAGAAATGGAGATTTCCCCTCCTCCCATCTTGATTAGATTTCTCCACCACATGCCATGGAAGCTTCTCAGGGTTAAGATTTGTGCCTGTCATTTCCGATGTTTTACTGAGAATCGCAAACTTGAAAATACCTTTGAGGCAAACTTGTTTGGAATTTCATTTTAATGGGATTTCTGAATAAATCTCCATCTTAATGCTGACTAAGCTTTAAACACCCATTCCAGGGAACGCTATTGGATTTTTTCATATTTCAAATTTTAAATCACTTGACAGTGAATGCATAAACCATTTTTTATGTTTGTGAGTGCTATGTGCTTCAGCGTTTCTGGTAAAGACCCGCTCCCCACCCTCACCCCCTCTTTTTTTTTTTTTTTTCATTTCTTTGCCTTAAATAATTCTGGGCTGCAAAAGAGGAGCTATTGCATCATCTCCTGCCCTTTCCCATGTAGACTCGTGTGCATATTATGTAGGGTTATTTATCTCATCGAACAGAAACGGTATTCTGTGGCAACCTGATGCCATGCTGCAATTTCCTTTAAGAAAGTTTACTCTCTCTCTTCCTTCACTTTGAAACCTTTAACCTCAGATTTTTATTTTTGAATGCTATCAGCCCTCAAAGTCACATTCAAAGAAGTGACACTTCCTCTCTACCTGCATTTCCCCAGCTCTGTGTGGTAGAACGTAGACTAAGATGAAAGAAGGAACCTTAGTTATCGCTTTAAAAAACAGACTCAAAACTACTGTCAGAGGTCTTCTGACATCAGACCTCTACTGTGTTTTCTGCACCCGGTGTCATTGCCCCCATCTTTCTGCAGACTCGTCATACTCGGAGCCCCCAGATGTTCAGCAGCAGTTGAATCACTACCAGTCAGCTGCCCTGGCAAGGAACAACAGCCGTGTGAGCCCCGTGCCCCTCTCTGGGGCCACTGCTGGCACCGAGCAGAAAACCGAAGCCGTTCTTCACTGCGAATTCTGTGAATTCTCCTCTGGCTATATCCAGAGCATCAGGCGCCATTACCGGGACAAGCATGGCGGGAAGAAACTCTTCAAGTGCAAAGATTGCTCCTTTTACACAGGCTTTAAGTAAGTGGACGTGAAGCACAGATAGTTACATGGTTGAAATATGACTAAATGGTGAAAACAGTAAATTTTAATCCTGTATGTGTTTTGCCACAATAAAAATATTCAATAACATAAACATCCAATATGGCTGCCTCCCTGCCTATCTCCTCTTCTACCTGGAACTCAGGGGAATCCCCTGCTTGTGGAAATGGGTGTCAGGTCTAATCTTCACCAAAAGGAGCTAGTTTCATTAGATTGCTTTGGGGCAGAGGAAGGGATGAAAAACTATATCAGAACAATGAGTTTAAAAGTCAGAGCAACTGGGTGCCCAAGCAATGTGAGAGTGAGAGGAAGGATTTGGCAAGTCTAATGCATGCAGCAATGAGCCTGGGAGAACTACATCCATTAATTCTCTCTTTGGGAAAGAAAAAAAAAATGTGTTCTTGGAAGCAGTGTGGTAGATGAGTCTTAGAAATAGTGTAACTTCCCCTACTACCTTGTTAAAAAACAACAAAAGCTGGGTTTTTTGTTCGTTTGTTTGTTTTAAGATCATAGTGTTTCAAGATCCCCAGAGAATCAAGATCCTGGCACTGGGGAGATTGAGCAATCATAAAGATGGTTCAAAGTCTAGGAAAAGAGAATCCAAAATCATCCATATTTCTATATATTATAGAATTGTTGAGCGTAAAGCATGAAAGTCTACCTATTATTTAATCTAAAGGGGGTTTAATCCTCTTTTGTGAGATACTGGTTAGCTTAGTGGGTTCAGAACAGAGTCTGGGGCTGGAGCTTGCCTGCCTGAATTTGAATCCCATCTTTGCCACGTGTTTACTATCTGTGTGACCCTGGGTATGTCACTAAGCCTCTGTGTGCCTCTGTTCCCTCATCTGTAAAATAAGGTAATAAATATAACCTGGTGTGGCTCTGTAGGCTATTGTGCTGGACTACAAGGTAGATTTTAATCATAAGGTTGGTGGTTCTAGCTCACCAGCCACTCCCCGTAAACCCTATACAGGGTCGCTGTGAGTTGGAACCGACTCTATTGCACTAAACAGTAACAACCCTGCAAGTCTCTTGTGAAGACTAAGTGAATCAAACTCCCTAAAATGCATAGAATAGTACCTGGCACAAAGCAAGCACTAGTATACAATATTAGAGAGAGAAAACCATTATTATAGTATTATGTACTATGGAGTCCTGGTGTGGCGATGCAGGATAAACGTGGACCTCTGGCTGTAAGGTTGACAATTCAAATCCACCAGCCACTCCTTGGAAACCCTATACAAGATAGCTATGAATCAGAACCAACTCATTGGCCCTTAACAAAACATAGCTATAAAGCTGTTATTATCTGTTTTTATTGCAATCAAGAACTGAGCAATGCTCACAGAGAAGCCTTTGAAAGTAGACTTCACTTCCAAAGGAAAAGATGAATTGGAAGAACAAAATCATTTTTTCCACCAGCATCTTAGTTGCCAGGGATTTGGTGGAAAATGTGCTTTATCTCTGATTATGAGTTTTGTTCAGTTATTTTTCAGACAAATATGTATGTGACCTTAGAATTGAGCAAAGGCTAAAGGACCCAGATAATGTGGGTCCACTGACAGATGGACATGGTTCTCCCAAGAGAAGCACTTCAGTTAATAAGAAGGGGTCCTTATCCATTAACTCTCGGTTTCATCCATTTTTATGAGCCATTAAAACTTTGTATTATAAATTTTCGGGTTTTGGAAAGGATGGAGAGGGAAGCAATAATGCCATTCCACTCTCCCAAGTTGGTGTAGCAGCTCCGAGTTTCGTTTTCCTGATCATCAACCATCATGCCTTCCTAAGCAATTTGTCCCTTCCCTTTGTCTTACTTGTGAAGAATCATGTAAGCAGTTGGTAAATCAACCTCACTTTTAAATAGTTCCTGGCCATTAAGAGTGATGAGAAATATTTCCTCTTAGGAACCCTGGTGGTATATTGGTTAGACAGTCAGTCAGCTGCTAACTGAAAGTTTGGTGGTTTGAGCCCACCAGCCACTCTTCTGGAAAAAGTTGTGACCGTCCGCTTCTATTAAGATCTGTTGTTATTCTTGTTGCTACGTGTCGGTTCCAACCCATAGCAACCCTGTCTAGGATTTCCAAGGAGTGGGTGGTGAACTTGAACCACTGACCTTATACCGATTTGCAGTCTAGTGCATTAATCCAGAGCACCACACCAAGACTCCTCTGCAGCCTTGGAAATCTATGGGGTAGCTCTACTCTGTCACTATTGAGTCACTATGAATTGTAATTGGTTCTATGGCTATGGAGTTTTTGTTTGTTTAGGGGTTTTGTTTTCACTCTTTTAACAGGAAATTCGTAAGTTTCAAGAATATGGGAAAATGAGAGCCCATTTCTTTTCAAACTAAGCCTTTAGTGGCAACATTCATTAGAAGAAGCTACCACTGCATGCTGGGGTCAGTAATTGAATGAATAACCCGGGAACTGCTAGTCAGCTAACATGACTAGCAACTATGTTTCCAGATGTTCCAAGTAGGAGTGTCACACCCAGAAGCTCTGAGGAGGCAGGGGGTGGGGGGAGCTGGCCAGGGTATGGGGTGAGTGAAATCCCTTCATAACAATGATTACCTCTCTCCACCTGCCAGATCTGCTTTTACTATGCACGTGGAAGCTGGGCATTCGGCGGTTCCTGAGGAGGGCCCCAAAGATCTTCGCTGTCCTCTCTGCCTCTATCACACCAAATACAAGCGCAACATGATTGACCACATCGTGCTGCACCGAGGTAACCTTCATAACTCCATTCTCTTTCCTTGTTAAAGTTTTTGGCTTTTGATTGCAATGCTCACTAAAGGTGGCAGTAGCACCCTGCCCGGGTCCCTCTTCCCTTACGTGACCTCCTGGCAAGAAATCACAGTGATAGACAGTCGATGGGATGGAAAGACCATGTCCTCCACCAGGAGGGAGGCGAGAGGTGAATTTGAATGCAGTGGCAGTGAGCACTTCTGTAGGAATTGCCAGTTAGAGGGGTTCTGATACTGAGTTTTCTGCCTTCTCAGTCTTGTGAGAAGGAGTGAGTGAGCAATGGGTCAGTGAAAGCACATCGTAGAATGGGAAGATGGACAGAGTGTAAGGAATTGTTTTGAAGGTGATCAAAATGAGGATGCATTTTCCCTTGAAATGGATGCAGATAGAGAATTCTTAAAAGTAAAAACAGTATAACTGCTCTGAAAGTGTTCCATTAGAAGGTCCTGGATAGAGTGGGAGAAAAGTGTGCAGCAAAATTCAAAATCATTAACAACAACAACAAATCAGACTTGCTGGTCAGATAGGGTTTCCTCCAGACTATGACCCATAGTCACCCTTCAGGTCTGGAACTGAACCCCACCATTATAGCTCAATCCTCAGCCAAACAATAGACTCATCTTTAAGGGGCACAGTACCACTAGGGAGGTATGAACACCTCAGAACAGTAATCAGCTACTTGAGATCAAAAGAACAGCATCGACCCAAGGAAAAGTTCAGATGGGCTAGGTAAGAAGGAGGAAGGGGAACAGGAAACACATGGAACATGGGATGAGTGATGTTACACTGAGGGTGATGCAGTCAATGACATGAAACATCAAATTCACTATAAGAAGTTAGTAATTTGTAAAAGTAGTATGATATAGATTAGACAACCCATGGACTTTGGATTTAAATGTTGAGTTGAAGACCTATTCATTTTAACTTGGTTTTCATCTATAAAGGGAATGAGTATAATAATAAGATAACAGTAGCATGTCTAACAGTGGGTCTAGTGCGTAGTGGGTGTCCCACAAATGTTGGTTCCTCCTGAAAACCAGGGATAGTTCTTTTAAGTCCATTTCACTTTTTCTTTTAGTTGAGTTTACACTTGGCCGATTAAAGCAGTATACTAAACAACAAGCTTCCTCTGCATTGGAAGGAAAAATATATTTATATGTAACCTGCATTGTCCTGAAAAAATTCAAACTGCAGTAGCTAGAAAAAAGTTTTTGTAATGCCCAGCCATTCTAGCTTGCTTTTCCATCTACTGGTCTTCCTCATTCCTCTTTCATTCCTACTTTTCTTGTTCTTTCTTACTCTCTTCCTTCCTTTCCTTCTAACCTTGGAAATGGTTCTGTACTTACCACAATGTCTTTCTAAAACAATGAGTGTTGTCTACCCTTCAGCTGAGACACCATTCACTCTAAAATACTAGATCGTGGGCCTGGTTGTGTGTGTGAATTTGCAAAGTATCCATCATTTGTTTCTAGCCACTGTTTGCATTCAGCGTATTTTGTGTCATAGTCACCCATATCTTCTGCAAAAGCATGAATTCCACACAAAGCCCAACATTTCTCACTCTCAGATTTCTCCCTCCCACTACACTAAGGAGACGTGAGATTGGTGCTGGCTAGGACCACCCCTTGCAAGCTGGGAGAAGCAGCGCAGGGACATTTAGGCAGGAATTCTTGGCCCGAGTGGTTCCGCTTGGTGTTCTGCCTCAATCACCTGGCTTCCGGTCCCCCAGCCCATGTGTTACAGTGGCTCTGTGCCCCATCACAGTTTGGGTGGAGGCCATCAACAGTGTTGCTGCTGAGTAGACAGAAATGGTGAGATCTCACGTTCTGTGTCTGCTTCCCCCTCTTTTCCCATACTGTTGCCTGGTGGTACCACAGCTTTGATGACTGATGAACTTCATGACTTTTTTTCCCTAGGCTGAGAATGCAAGTAGGGGGAGAGTCAGAGAAAGATTCCACACTATTGCTGTGAACAGTCCAATAGAGCTGACAGAGTGTTTCTCACACCAAATGCACTTCCCCTTCCAGCAACATGGTGGGGGATAATAACTATTATTGGTATGCCTGTTTACATATGTGAAACTCGAGGCTGAGAAAGACTACATTTCTTTGACTTAATGTATTTATTTGTGGTCTACCTCATTTCGCAAAGGTATTGTGCAGAACCATAAAATTAAAAACGTGAAGAAACTAGAGCAAATAAAAATACAACGTAAAGTGGAACCTACACTACTACAATGAAAATGCTAATGAAAATCTAGGTGTTTGAATACTCAGTATATGTCTTAAGGCGCGTACATTTGTTAGCAAGGGTGCTGCAAAGTTGCTCCTGAGATTCTTGCTGCCATGAAAGAAAAGAAATTCAGATTTAGAATGTTTCTTAGATTTTTTTTTTTTTTTCTGAAATGCTGTTCAGGAACATTTCAGAAACCCAAGATTTTGGCACCGGAGAGGAACTTCTCCAGTGGGTTCTTCTGAAGAGGACATTATAGGAAGCAGTAGGTGTTGGCCCCAGCATGGGTGTTGTTGTTAGATGGCATTGGGTCGGTACCAATTCATAGTGACCTTGTGCACAACAGAACAAAACACTGCTCAGTCCTGGGCCAACCTCACAATTGTTGCCACGCTTGAGTCCATTGATGCTGCCACTTGGCCAGTCCATCTCACTGGGGGTCTTCCTCTCTTTCTCTGACCCTCCACCTTACCAAACATAATATCCTTCTCCAGTAACTGCTCCCTCCTGACCATGTGTCCGAAGTATGAGAGACGAAGTTTGGCCATCTTGGCCTCTCAGGAGCACTCTGGCTGCACTATCGTCAATTCCATAGGGCAGTGAAAGCTGAGGGCACTGACCCAGCCATCTAATCTGTGAGCGGTCAGGTTATGAGTCAGCCCCAGTCCTATGATTATATACCCCACCACATTGCCTCCTGCTGATTTCCTTACAGTCTCTTCTGTTTACTTAAGGAGATCATTTTTATTAAAAGAGGCAATTCAATTGTGTATTGGCTGTCCCTCATTAGTGTCAGAAAGCACATAATCTAGTATGAACACAAGCATTTGAAGACTGGTAATTATAATAATAGCAACAACAGTATTACTGGAGTCTTGGTGTGGTGCTGTAGAATAAGCACTGGACTGTTAACCATGAGTTCAGTGGTTCAAACCCACCAACTACTCCTTGGAAACCTTATACAGGATCTCTATGACTCAGAACCGACAACATCAATACACAACAGTAGTATTAATTGCTTACTAGGTAGCAAGCACCGTAGTAAGTGCTTTTCAATGTGCCATTTTATGGAATTCTAATGCTACCTATGTTGTTGATACTGTTATCCCCAGTGATAACTGGGAAGGAAAAATAATAGGTTCAGAAGCCTGAGCAACTTGTGTGAGGCCAAACATCTACTAAGTGACCCCACTGAGATCCAAACACAGGTTTGTCTGAGTTTTGAGTGTTTCTGTGGCTGTGGCAGCTGAGTCCAGGGGATAACATAACTAGAGGGGCTTGAAGTCAACGACAAGGACCTCAGAACCACAGATGGCAGGAAGCTTCAAGACAGTTGTGTCTGCCATCTGTGTCCTGACCTGGCTTTAATGTCCATCTCAACTCAAAATGGCAGCTCAGTGGGAAACCATTCTTGACAAGTTATGAGATAAGGTTGAGTGTCTGCTTTGCAATTTAGGGTTGGGACTGATCTCAAAGTAACAAGATGTGGCTCTTTCTGCACCTGAGCTCTCCTTGCTCTGTGGATGAATAAACATCTTTGGTCTCTAGGGCCTACAGCAAGAAATCTTTCTGAGGCCTAGGTTAATTAAAATACTCAAGATGAAAGGCAAGAAAAACAACTTCAGAATGGGCCTGAGACAGCTTGCATGAATTCAGTTTCCATAGCTTTTTATCTGGACAAATGAATATATTTGTATAAGGAGAAAACAGAAAAGAATCTATTTTCAGTTATGTGAAATTTAAATGAAACATCATAGACACATGTTTATGAAACAGCGGCAATGTTTATTCATTCATTCAGCAAGCTTTCAGTGTGTGCTTGCTACAGGCCACACTATGTGCTGGTTTCTTTGGGCAAGGTGAGTTATATAAGACCTAGTACCCACCCTCTTTAAAAGATGAAGTGTATCTCAAACTATGATGCAAGGCAGAGAGTGAATAATGTTTAAGAGATTCAAGGTGTCATATATACTTGGATTTCTTTTGAGACTAGAAAATGATGGAGGGAGGTAACATTCAAACTAAGCCATGATAAATGTGCCAAAGCACTGAGATGAGTGAAGCAAGGAAATGTTTGCAGAATGTCATTAAAACTGTTCTAGAGTACCTGAAGGGAATACAAGGAGGCAAGGCTAGAAAGGTGTATGTTAGGCCAAATTATGAAGGGCTTGGATACCAACATAGGAGTTTGAACTTTACTCAGTTGACAGATGAAAGGTCAGGGCAAATTTGGAACACGGTGTCGATGGGAACCTTGGTGAATACTAAGCAAAGGATTGTAAGATCTATCTATCTCTTTGAGGAAGTCTGACTTTAGGTCAGATCAACATTTGATGAGGTTAACCAGGATTTGAGGAATTCAGTTAGAGAAAGCAAAGTTATAAAGCAGAGGATCAATGAAAAAGAGGAAGACCCCCCCCAACAAAATATATTGGCACAGTGGCACCAGCAGTGGGCTCAAGTGTAACAATAATTGTGAGGCTGGCACAGGACCAGTCAGTGTTTTGTTCTGTTGTTCGACAGCACCTAACAAGAAGTAGAGAAAAATTCAGCCCTGAGACTTCTTTCAAGCACATGACTAATGGTAGAACTTTTGACAAGTTTTCATATATGCAAGAAGTATATATTTACCACCAGTATATTTTTGGCCATCAGCATTGTTTGAAGCCCTGTGAATACAGCCATGAAAAGACAGGCACGGTCTGTGCACTAAAGGCACCTTAGGCTCCAATTGGAAAGAGACAACAA